CCGGATTCATATATGAAATGGATACGACGAAGCGGTAGAAAACGTCAACTATTACTGCCCCCAGCCCACATTGTTTCATTTGCTAAAATTCAACTCACATTTCGCTTCATCGTCAAGCGGTTGCGCATTTAAAGCGGTAGGCGTTTAACCTGATAGGCATAAAGCTGGATTTTGTGGTTTCACCCAAGCCATCCTACGAGATTAGGCAAACACATGCTTTTTTACACGTAGCAAATCATTGTTTATTACTCCCTTGTGTCCGATTGCCCTCCTGTGTGCACCTGCCGCCAGATCCCAATGGAGAATGCAACAGTATGTGGGTGGCCTCGAGAATGTTCGAAGTGCCCGAATTTACTTGATTCGTTGGGAGTGATTTCAAAACCATTGGGGTGCCTTTGGGGCATGGGAACAGTGACACAGATGATGTGCCTTTCCACGCGTGTCCTAGCCATTCGCGTGCGTTTCACCAATCCAATCATAACCACACTTGTGAGACGGATGTCACCAGGCCTCACGAGTATGTACCCTCATCCTACATACCTATACTTAAGGACTAACGGCCATGTCCGCGCTTAAGGCATTCGCAACCTTGATTGGACTGTCCTCCCAACGCCGGGCACAGGACCTGCACACACGTGCGCACCAGCGCGTTCGGTGCGTTCATCCCTGCAATCTAACCGACCTACCGGCGCACTAAACGCACATGACGCGCAGTGGAGAAACGCCCTCCATCAGTGCCAAATAATGCCATGGATGAAGCGTAGTCATCACATTTGGATGGTTTCTTTGGCGTTTCTGGGATCACCAGTAGCGCACATTCCTGTACTTCGCTACATCATCTTAAATAAAACCCACGTTGAAGCGGGTCTTAAGCACTGGTCCCCCAGGACTAGCGATTAAAGTGTCGGTGACCTGTCAGATGTGTGAACAATGCGACACACGCAGGTGACCTAGCAAGGTGTAGCCACTCTTGACTTGAGTTGGCTGATCGTCCCTCCCTCCTATTGGAAGTCTGCTGCGAAATCGTTTTCTGTTCTGATTTTTCCAACGCAAGTTCGTGTTCCACTACAGAATCGATGACTCGGTTTCCTCTTTGTCTACTGGAATTGTAATTCTGTGAGTTGTCCGATTTACCGGCGCAGATCAACGAACAACATTTCTTCATTGAGGTTGCACCCAGCTTCTCGTGCATCATTGTGAGTTCGAACATCTAAATGCTACCAGTGATGAGCGACTGGGCTGATGCCTCAATGAAACTAGAAATTGGTCAGCAATCTCCCGGTGTGGTGGATAGGACCATTTATCCAGTTCCTGCGGTCCTGGGCGCCCGAACATTCGTACGTCGTCGTCGTCGTCGTCGTCGACACAACAGTGGGTATAACCCACCTCAATCGTCACCGTGGTCATGATTCCTTCATCCGATTTGCGCAAGAGAATACTGTGGACTATATCTCTTGGTTGTACATCGAAATTATAAATCGTTTAACAGTGTCCCCGTTGGGTACCGCTTTACGCTGGTCTAACTGGGAGTTTTCCCAGCTGATTGTTACTGTTCAATGACCAACACGACTCCAGCAGTCATTGAGAAAAGGAGTGCTGTGTCGCTGCTGTGTCGCTACCAACCATTCGCATCCCACGACCGCAGAAAGAACAAGAAACCGAGCAAGCACCGAAATGTATACATGAGAAACCTGTTATAACTCTGCTTAATAGTAAGAAGACAGAATTAACACTGCTTGAAAATGGTTACTTGCACAACTGATGTTACAACTAACTTTGCGGGAAACATCTTAGCTACACACTTGGTCGAAACCAATCGATGCTCACCTGCCATGTGGTTGGCTGAAAGTTCCAAGCTAACATACAGACACACGCGCTGAAAATCATTCGATTTCACATGCACCCTGTGTGGCTGACATCCGTGATCTCTCTAACAAAACCTGCTTCATTTAACTAGGGTATAACATTAATTGAATTAAGGCATCATCATCATCAGCAGCAGCAGCATCATACAAGTTAGCTGGAGGTAGGAAACACCTCAGCTACTGTGCCGCAATACCTAAAAGAAAAAGGGAATAAAATGCAACTGGTGCAAGCCGGCTGAGCTACCGGTAACCGATGCGCATCGTTCCGGTAAGCTACCATCCGGCTACTGTGCATCAAAAAAATTACTGTGCAAAGTTATATAAGGCTAAGTAGTGAGATCGTGATTGGAGGGGGAGTGTAAGAGGGATGGGATGGGACAAAGAAACTCACAACACCAACGCCAATGAGGTCGGCTCCTAGCCATACCAGCAATTGTATCCAGCCAAACGTGTTCATCGTCTTTCGGACCCCAACCAGGGATCCGAGACGCTCCAACCGAGGCCAGCTCCGAGGTGAGGGACTTCATTCCCTGGACCAAGTCATCGCTTGGCCACCTCACCTCTTCTTCTATCCACATCCCCGGTGAGCAAACAACGCACGTCGAGGGAGTCGGTGGGCTGGCATGCGTAACACGTGCCCGAGTCATCGGAGCCTGGTGCGTGAAATAACGCTGAGCGGTTCATTTCCATTTTCTGTGCCGTAAACAATGCGTCCAACACGCTCGTTGCTCACGCGGTGTTCCCACCAGATGTGAGCTAAATTGCGAAGGCACCGGCTGTCGAACGTAACTAGCCTCTTCAGGTCCGCTGCTTTAAGGGGCCAGGTTTCACAACCTAAGGCACGTTATAGCCACCCATCAATATAGGAGACACTGACTAATACATGCGAATGAGAAGTTGTCGAAGAAAGAGCCAATCACTCGAGTTCAAGGAAACCATATTAGCGGGATTGAGTTTTTGTGATAACATCATTAACGAACGACGTGCGCTGGCCAATTAAAGCAAAGGAAAGCAGGCAAGTGCAAATTGTCATATAACGTATATGTCCAGTACGCATCCTACTAACACTATCCATAACAGCCTAATATTATAGAAAGCGCCCAGGTTTCTGAACTATAATACCATCCTGCCTCACAATGTCACAACTTGATACGCTATTCATATGTGGGGGACCTAGTTGTCTTACTTTAGAGCTGACACGGATCGGACACCAGACACTGGCTCAGCTCTGTCCAGCTAAATAAATGCGGCCAGAATATCAATATGCTCTGCGTCTGGTAGCCAGAACTGGTACCACCAAACTGATGGGAGTTGAAATAACAGACAGCCTGGCAACGGAAACATTCGCAACTAGAAATTCGATAGTGAAATTGGATGCTAGTGCTGAATAGAATAAACATTGGTGTGCCAAGTTGTGGGCAAGTGAACCACCGCCTGGGTAACTGAACCATTTTTATGTGGGTGCTTCAAGACATTGATATGAGCCATTCTGAGGTCTTCACCAAGCCTGACCAACTTTTGCGCTCAACTTTCACATAACTTCTTGACTGTTCATGAAATTGTTACCCTGCTACGCAAACCAATTAGGTGTATGTTAGGAGGGTGCTTACGGAATATGCATCTTTATGTCGATTTCCGGTTAGCTCGCTATCATTAAACAAACTATGGGGAACCCAGCGTAACCCACATATTGGCCAATCAGGGTTCAATGATGGCATTGTCATGTCCGTCTCCCATTTGGCTACCTGGGTGGCTCCTTTGATGCATCTGTTCACCCTGATAAGAAACAGACATCACACCTTTGTTTTCAAGTTACAAGAAGCATATATATGTGAAACATCCAACAAATTACTTAGTTTCTCGCGGTCATTTTGAAGCGCTAGTTGTGTGTGTGTGTGTGTGTGTGTGTGTGTGTTAGAGTGGCTTGCAGCACATGATCCCAATCCGATTGATGCGTCAATCGGATTCTATGGGACGGGCACCTTGTAGTGTTACCCACGTATAGTGCACCACATTAGCACGCGTATTGATGTACTGGCATGGACCGAGTCAACGTAGATAGTCTGTCCCACAAAGGTTTTGCGAGTAAATGTTAGTTTTAGTATGCCATGCGCAGATGAGTCACGAAATATCCCTTCTCAACAGCGTTCTACAGGCGTTTGGTCAGGGCAGCAGCCGCAGTGACACCTTTGAGTGGCAAATACACCATAAGCTTTTTTTCTTGAGTACACTCATACTAGGTGGTTTTCCCTGGCGTTGTTTCAGGGATTCGTGGATGAATTTTGTGGATGCCTATTTACTTTTAGGGCGTCACTGATCCTCTGCAAGTCCTCGGTAATGACGTCCGGTTTGCTAATTCTGTATACCTGGAAAGCAAGTGTGGGCTGTATTAGGTCTGTACTGTAGCGATAATGCTGTGAAGACGACTATAGACTCATCGAATCCATTCCTGAGCAATCTCGCACGGATTCCGGGGATATCCCCTACAAAGTACGTCCAACCCGAACTAGGGGAATTTAACACCAAATATTCCAGTTTCCCCAAAGTGGTCATTGCCTACGTACAAGGGAGAAATACGCATCGCATCATAGGCCTTGGCAACATCACTTTTAGTTGCAGTATACGGTATAAAAAACGCCCGGAAGCTGGTCGCCACTCACCGACTGGCTGGCTCCATCTTTACGCGCTTTTCGTATTCCTCCGCAAGCACCAGTGCCCAGTGACAAGGAGTCTTAGCCTTCTCACCATACAAAGATGTCGCTGCTCCCCGGAATAAAATTGCACACATCTTAATGTACAATAAGTACTTAGAACTCCACTCTGTTATCATAAATTTCAAATCAAATCACCCGTCAGACTGACCATCTTATATCGCATTTAATTAATGCTAGCATAACTGCTTGTATTGCATTTCAAAATCTACTAACAGGGTTATGAACTGATTCCGAGTAGGGTCAACTGCCTGATACATTCTTTATCCTCCGTACTAGCGGTGGTTCGTGCACGTTAAACTACACTACTTTGTTGCATTGTTATTGGTTGGTTCCATTCCGTGCTTGATTGCTAATACCCGAACAATGTTGTCCTAACCCGTTCTGCATTCCAACCTTCTGTTCAAATCCCCCGCCCCGCAAGACTCTCCTGCCTTCCATTGAAAGAGCCAAAAATGCAATTGACAGGTCACTGTCGGAGCGCGACGTTATAGTGGATTTGTTCTTCGCCTCGCTGGATAAGGACGTCGGTGACTTACTGCACGACATGAAGGAAGCCAAACAGGCTATCAACGTGAGTGGACCATATGCGCTTGTCTGTGTGTGTGGTCGATGCCTATTCAACCACCGTAATCGCGCCCAACAGCTATGTGGCACCACCAGTGCCTTGTGTGTGTGTGTGTGTGTGTGTGTGTGTGTGTGTGTTTCATCTGGGTCACTGAAGCTGCTAGTTGTGTATATCACCCCAGTCAAATCAGGTTTTAGGTACCGGATAGACGTATTTTAAACATTTCACACTATCGATTACAGTAAGACAGGGTCATAAAATATGGGAAATTTTACTAGTGGAAGAACAAGATGGAAAAATATGCCCATATGTCACTCGAGTAAACTGTTCCGCACCTTCAACCAAAGATAGCATATTGATGGGGAAAAGTATAGGGATTTCTAACTGGTTGACATGCAGTTGTTTAAACTGTTCCTGACATCTGCTTTCATTTTGATGAAAGTAATAAACTACCAGTCTATCACAGTGTGTATGATAAGCTTTCCAAAGGATCGGCGGAATTAAACGGTCTCAGTGACCTTGGAAGTAGTTCAGCCAAAGAACTGGTCAAACCATTCATACAAAATTGATGTGTTCAAAGTAAATAGTGCAAGAAAACGATGTGTTGGGGAAAACGATAACGGTCAATCTAACGGCCCCGCTGTTGGATTGTTTTGTCCCTGCGTCCTGCTTTTGCACTTTGATCATGCCGAGTCGATTCAAGCTATTTCCATCGATTAATGATAACCTGTGTTGTTTTTGCTGTACTTATGAGCAAATACTTATCGCGACGCAACAAATCGTAGCACTAAGTAAAACAAGTCATTCAAACAGCTTACACTCCGTCGATCAAGCGGGGTCATAAAACCAATCAGAACTCGCAACCATCAGATCCACCACTAATTCCAAGCTGGATACATTGGTTTTATCTTTGGGCCCTCTCGCTTCTTCAATGCGTTGCTATCTGCCTTTCACGACTTATGTTCTTTAACAACCCCCACCCGATAGCTGCGCATGAATTGGCGGTTAGTAAAATTACTTCAGGTGTGCGAACTTTTGTTTCACTCTGTTTTGCTTTAAGCTAATCACGGTAGGTGGCTAAATTAACATGTGTGGAGCCTACAGCATTTAGTACAGTAAATGCACAAACCTGCCAAGTAGATGCTAGAAGGAAGTGTACTTGACATAATTTTGTGACAATTCTTTGCTATTTGCTTTCGCGTTGCCATCACCTGTTTCTCGCCATTTGCTTAAACGCATCATTTCTTTTAATTGATTGGCCAGCATGCGTCGATCAAAAATGGATTATTCGCGGGGTCCCATTTCATCCAATACCGTTTGCACTGACACCACTAATTGGCTGTTACTGCTCTCTTTTCTTATTCGCTTACCTCATTCAGCGTCTCCTGTGTTGTTCATTGGCTCCGATGTGTTTTAGTAGCTTTGCTTCACCCACTATTGTACTCTATATAAGGAAGCAACGTTCTCACCTATGCAACTCAGGGCTGGCTCGTCTTCATGTCCACTTTTGCGGTCGAGGGATGCGAACAATCGGCGGTGATACAACAGTAGATAATACTGGTTGTTGTGTGGCCTATAAGCATGTGACTCCTCGGTGATTGGTTGACTTGCGGCACAATCCGTTTGGATGAAGTTGTGCGCTGCCACTGATTGTCAGTCGTACGACTTAGCCTGGTCATCCGCATATTCACGGAACCCGGAAATGTTGTTTGATAAAATAAGGTTTCAAAAGTCTGCAGCGTACCACTGAGCCGCATCTTCACAGACGACAGCCTCGTGACCGCTGTCCGGAATTCGTCTCGAATCTCGGAGTACTGTACAACCCCTAGAACTGTAGATCAGTTTGCAAAAAGATGTCTCGCACTGCGAAAACTTTTCACCTGATCCTCTTCAAGTCTCTGTGTGAATTACTGGAAGTTGCATTTTAAATGGTCATATGCTGAGGCTGATGTTCCATTCATAATGCTTCTTCACGGCAGTTGGGCTAAACTAACTTACACTTAAACTAGGTCCTTTGAAGCTGGATACATTTCATACCAGTTTATTTGGTTTGTGCTGCCTACCTGAATAATGTATTAACTTGCACACGTTTCTTACACTAAGTGTGCTTAGTCTCGTTAATTTTATTGCGTTTTTAGCATTTTTGAATAACTTGTGGACAATGTGTACTTGTCGCTTATTCGTGGATAACCAACTTATTTCATAAGGTGATTCAGCGAAAAGTTATGTCTGCATAGCCGTATGCTTTAACAGATATATTTTATTTGATAATGTCATTCCAAATGATTGGCTGTTATTTGACATGCCCGGTGTGGCTACGCTTGATGTGCATGTTGATTAGGTGCTTACCTGTCTAGTACCCACTACCTCGTCTACACTGGTTCCAGGAGACAGTTGGTCGTTGCTGAAGGGGACGGGGTGCATGGTCCTTGTGGCGGTGCTAGACTCGAAAGGTGGTTCCATGCACTCAGTGTGGAGCGGACCACGGTCCAGCTAACGCTTTGTGTGCGATTGATTCTCCAAATACAGCCTACTTGTGGTTGCTTTGAAGGGGTGTGGGCCGGCTCGGTTGATGAAACGTGGCTCCCATCCACATGCTTCCTGGTCTTATTCCTGCGGGTTTGCACTGGATACGGGGTGTGTGGATGGAGCTGTGAGTGGTGCAGTCCAAGCCACCCATGGTCCCTTGTAGGCGCAGGCGTCTGTGGCTGACCACAGTGAGGCAAATCCGAAACCGGATGGCGCCAACCATGCTACATACATGTCCATCCGCAAGATTGACACAAATAATTTGCGCCCCTATACATTTAATGTAAATTATATGAGTCTAGTCCTTTTTTACTAACCTGAGCTTCGTGCTCTCCTTGCTCAGGTGCTGGTTTCTGGACTAATGCAGTGCTGATTGTCCCTGTTTGCTTCGGTGGGGCTATATTTCAGTGGTTGGGTGGATACCTAGCCCGGTGTACCAAATCAGGTCTAGGTGCGCTGGATGCGAACGTCGATAGCTTGTCCGCTATTCCGCCTAGTAGAGTGTTAATCGAGGCTGACGGAAATGGGTTACACAATCCTTTTTACATTTGGAGCCCAGACTCGTTATATCAAAAAACGAAGTAGGAACCCACCACCGTTCCGCGTAGGTAACCTGACACGCATACCTACCCAAGCATCATAACCGACTTGTTTACGTCGAGAGATGTACGCCAGCCCCAACTCCATCGGCGCCCGCATTTGCATCATCCTTCGCCCAATTTCACTCCTTTGGGTTTACACTGCTGGTGCAGTGTATGAATTAGGCTGTGGGGTAAGTAGAAAGAACCCATGGTCCCTGTGTACATGCAGACCTTCGGAACTGGCTCTCCGGACAACCTGCGTTGGATCGTTGGAAAACCTCCGCGTGGTGTCATCTGGGTGGTTCGGGTTTTATCATTCCAGCAAATGATTCGGCAGCATTGCTTAAGGGTGGGGTGAGTTTCAACTGGCAAGCGTTCTCCCTACCAAAAGCCACAAATGTCGGCGTAACAACACAGTGACTCGCCACGAAATAAAGTCACTGCCCCTTGCTCCAGTCCGGTGGAGCATTGTAATTCAATATCCTCTTGCTGAAATCGTGGGGAGGATTGGGCTCCTGTTTAGTAATAGACCAAAAGAAAGCTGTATGAATTGAGCAATCAACACCGACTCTCAATGACTGCGATTCCCGGAATTCGCTCCGCTGGCTTGAGAGTAAACTATTTAGTCAAAGGCTCGGGGTGGTATCCTCTAAGTCAACTCCCTATTTCGGCTAGGACAAACGGGTAGTATCACGCTCATTGACCGTGGATTTTTCAAATACGTCGCTCTCTTCTGCTCATCTTTTGCGCTCTCGAATAGTCCTCCGTAAATCACAAACACTGGCCGAGATCAGGAAGTTTTTCTTAAGATTACGCTCGATATTTATAGAGAATATACACTGTTTGCGAGAGTCCGCCCCACTGACTCACCCTTGTTATTTGAATCATATCGCTTGTTCCATTTCCGCTGGTTTACACTTGTTCGTAACGCTCATCCTGTCTGAAAGTACTTCGAGCCGCGTTACTGATTTTCTGAGTGGATTGCACGATTGGCTAGCTTGGTCAGTCATCCTTCTGGTTACACGCCACTTCCCTTGTTCCGGTGCCACAGAAAACCTTGACTCAAGCGCGTACAGTCTATTCGTTGGCTGGCAAACCAATCTGATTCTCCGCTTCGCACGGTTACACGCTCTTTCGCAAGACTGAATAGGTCCTGTGCATTTGGGACCTGCTGGCGTCTGAGTGGTCACCTACACACTCAATCCACGTTCAGTTAGCTGGCTACGCTCGGAGAGCTTAACTTCGGCGTGCGCAGCCACTCGCTGCTCGGCTGACCATTCCGCTTCAGATGACATGCTCACATTCCTTCGGGTTAAGTTACATCTGTTCGGTACGCCGCGAAATGCTGCGTGGCGTTCGCTTGGCCAGCTGCCTATCGGTATCATAGCGTTTCCGCTCACCATCGGTTTCAGCCACCATCACATCCTTTACTGTTTCGCTTTTTAGAACGGCCTTGCAATGCTTTCCGTGCTGTCTTACACCACGTGGGCGTTTAATGTCTTGGGCTTGAGTAGCAGCACACCTCTCTGATTGTTGTTGTTGTTGTTGTTGTTCCTCGCTTTGCGGGGTCCACTCATGATGCACTCTTCTCTGTTGCACCCGATTTCGTCGAATGATGTTGCTCCCAAACTTCACTTCATAGTTCCACTCTCCCTTACGGCCTTTGATCATTCCCTTCTGCCAGCATCCTCCGGATTCCGGCACTGCCTGAACTCATACTTTGTCCCCTGTAGATAGTGATGGGAGGTTTTTCGATCCACGAGAATAGGACTTCTTTTGCCTTAGTATTCTGTTCCGTAGTCATTCGTGAAGAATATCGGCGGTTTTATTTTTGCTATAGTAGAGTTGTAGCGGTCAGCAATAGCGTTTTCGTTCGGCGATTGAATAAGCGCTACGCTGGACTCGTTCCGATATCGATAGACGGCTTGTTCCTTCGATCCAGTAGCGTTGCGTAGGAATACTCCCGGGTATCCTTGGGTTTCGTAAGCATTTTCTTTGCCTTCTTCACTGTTGACTCAGCCTTTCCATTTGATTGGATTTGGTATCGGCTGGTGAGCCGGTGAAGAAAATCTCACTTCTTGCTGAAGGCACGAAACTCTGCACCATTAAATTGCGGCCTGTTGTCGCATTCCATTCCAAGCGAACTGGCATCGCAACTAATTCACTCCAGTCTGTGCACTAGTCGTCGTAAGAGCATCGATCTCGAAGTACTAACTGAAGTAATCTAGCACAAACAAGTAGCTCCTGCCGTCGTGAGCGAAAATATCCAGTGCAACTATCTGCAAGAGCCTGTCAAGAATGTCACGAAGTATAATCGTTCCTTTTGGCTAGCGTACGTCATGTGTCCTGCATTCCATACAACAGGGGAGGTAGTCACGTATATGACTGGCCATTCCGTGCCAGAACGACAGCTCTGTTGCTCTTGTCACGCAATGGTTGGTTCCTAAGTATGCACAGCGTAGCAGCTCCAGCATCGAATGTTGCAGTACACTTGGGACTAATATCCTGTTGCCTTTGAATTTTAATCCGTTTTGGGTAATGGGTTCGTCTCGAAAATGGAAGAATAGAGTCAGCTCCTTAGACAGCCTTTTTTGTCTTCGGGCCATCCCTTACTTACCATGTAATTCACTAGCCTGCACAGTTCGTCCTCCTCCGTGCATCGTTGGAGTTGCTGCAAGCGTTTCTCAGTAACAGCGATCAACTGCGTTGCATGAACAAATTCACGGTCTTTTTCCTTTCCGGGTGTCTGACAGGTGCGCTCTTGACAGCGTGCCCGCAATGTGCAGATGGGATTTTGGCCGGTAGATCATACTTCTGCAGACGAATGAGTATCCTTTGCAGACGGCGTGGAACAACATGGAGCGGCTCAATGGCGGTTGGTTGGTAAAGGCGGTGGATTTGCAGCCAATTGTATAATCATCGAGACGCTGCACGATGTAAACCAATGCAAGCGTTTCTTTTCCCCTTTTTGCGTGTAACGGCGCTCCACCTATGTTAGGGTCCGGCTTCGAAAGTCTCTAGACTTGCTGTTCTGTATGAGTACGGCTCCGATACCATACCGATTGCTGCAACAATAGATCTCGCGTGAGAGTGCTGGATTATAGTAAGCGTGAATGGCGCGCTCGGGAACGACACCTTCATTTTCTAAAATGCTGTCTCCTGCTGCGCGTTCCAGTACCAGTTTCGTCCCTTTGGAGCCCGTTTCCCAATAGGTACCATTACATCAGCTAATCCGGATAGGAAACGACTTAGGTAAACATTCAGCATGCTAGCAGCTTTTACGCCAGTGAGGGCTGGCATCACTCTGATGGCCCTGACCTTCTCCGGGTCCGGTTCCATCCCTTCGGAGATTAGCAGGTGCCCATGAAATAACACTTCCGTCCTACGCAATTTGATCTTCTCTCGCTTTAGCCTGAAGCTCCTTTCAGAGCAGCGATGCAAAAATTTGTCTAGGTGCTGAACGTGCTCTTCTCGCGTAGCGCCAAAAACCAAAACGTCGTCTACTGCACAGGACGTTCCTGCATCAGTCGTTTCTGAAATATTTCACAACATACTTTCTGTCCAAACAGCAGACGAAACCCGCGGAAAAGCTTGAATGGTCTCCCAAACGTGGTCAGGTAGCTCGACTCTTGGTGAAGCGATACGGGCCAAAACGCCGAAGCGAGGTCGACTTCTGTGAACATTCTAGCTCTGGATAGGACCGAAAGTATGTCGTCTGGTGTCGGTGGCGTATAATTCTCCCTCCTGAGAGTGGTGTTAAGTGTTTTCAAAACAATGTGCACGCGCATTTCTCCAGGTTTCTTAGTGAGAATCGCCACCTGACTAACCCAAGCGGTCGGGTCCTCAACCTCGGCGATTACACCCAAATTGGCAAGACGCTTTAGATGGTATAAAAACATCTCGCACAAGGCAATAGGCATTTTTTGGTCGGCGAAGCTACCGCCTTAGCAGCTTCCGTTAGAGATAAATGAGCATATTTTTTTCGGAGCCCCTCGACTGATTCTGCCCGCTAACGGTAGTGCGCACATGCACCGAAATCCGTGTACGATGCAACGTTACTCGCCACACGCCAAGCGCCCGTGAGTTCAAATCAACGGAATAATCCGCCAAAGCAGACCAAATACCAAGGCCATGCAAAAGGCTAACATTCGATCAATCAAGCCCAGTCAATCCAGGGGAGAAGGATCGATACGGTGCTCCACGAACGAGTGGAATGCACAGCGTAAGAGAAAAGCAAATAAGTATAAAATTCAGTATCAATACAAGCCAATCACAAATGTGAAGCAATAGAAAACGTATGCGAGGAACCGTAACAGAGGGCGGGAGGAATAAGGATCAGGGGGACAAACTCACAAAACAACGGAGAGTGGTGGAGTTTCTTTACCACCGCTATAACAGAGCACGCCTTTGGAAGCTATTAGGAAAACAGCCATTTCGTGTGAACGAGCTTAATAGCTATTCTTTACTCTTCCTATTTTCTACTTCCTGACTGTTGTTTAAACGCGCTACTGGGTTAACCCGATTGGTCCACACACGTCATTGTTAATGGACGCTCATCGTCGTGTCCTTTTCAGCACTGCCATTTGCAAGAACATATTTCATTGATTTTTCTCCTCGTCACTGTTCTACTAGTTCTACTTGTTAAATGAATATTTAGTTGTCACACGATTATCCTGCTAGTTTTTAATTTTTGGGTCTACATTTCTTACTCTCGTTTGTTTCGTGACATTTGTTTAAACGCTACATTTCGTTATTCTGATTGGCCAGTACCCGTCACTGTAAATGGATGTTCGTTTTACGCTTGGAGTCCCATGATGCTATTTTTAAGGACATATGCGATTCGCTCTTGAACACACGGGTGCTTATTCGCCGTTGCATTTGATGATTTTCCTTCTGTTGGTTGGCTCAAGTGTAATTTAGTAGCTTCCTTTCATTTTCACTTCAAGACTATATAAGCAATTGTGATTTCATGTATACAAGTCTCTTTCTGACTTGTCTTCGGACTTCTTCTTGCGGTCGTGGGGTGAAGGCGTCAGCGGCGACACAACAGAATCTAGCTCCGACCCCGTCAAACACACTATGGAACCATTCCAAAGCAGTACCCGTTTTCAGCGTGAGTTTTCCTGGTGTTAGGACTAGTTAAAGTGGCTGAGTATATTTCTCAATCTCATTTTAGCCGAGTGAGACCTGTGCATTCTGGGGGATCCTAGTCGGCAAGGCTGTGGTCACACTGACAGACGCCGAACTTCGGTCAACGCCATCGTATACGACAAATTCATGTGACCTCCAGGTTTATCGGAGAACTTCGAACACGGACTGTCGCTAAGTCCTGGTCGTCAACATAAGTATGCAAAACAGGCTTACACATACAAACCCCTTCCTAGTATCCGCAATGTTATAGCTGGCGTATCCCTTGCTTCCGTCATTACTTCGAGAGCGCATCAGGCAGCCCAGGGGCTTTAAGGGTACATCGACAGGAAGGGGGGCGATTTTTCAGGCTACTGGACAGTTGCAGTTACGCTAGGACGTAACTTCAGCGCAGCGCGGCGGTGACACCTTGCCATCACACCGGTGAGTCATCGTGAGCACATCTTAATGGCACCTGTCCCAATAGGCTGAGCTAAGCACGAGCGACGGAGGTGAAGCGCCCGACATGTGGGCGAAATTGCGTCGCGCACGTGTGGAATGCACCCGTACCTTGGATTTGCGGCGGTCTGCGGAGGCTGTCATCTGCACATCTCTCTTCCTTCTTCGTTGCTGTGAGATCTGTGGTAGTGTCAAGAAGCTTCAAATATAAAACAAAACGTCAATTTTTTACACTGCTTAATTCTGATGGTTAAACGCGCGTAGTCATTATGCACGTTGATTGTTTCAGAATCCAATACTACTGGATGTCAACGCAGAGCGCACAAACGTGAGACAGGAAATGCAGAAGATTAAGGAAACCATCGAGGACCTGCAGACACGGGCAGCCCTTTATAAAGGGTATTACAAGTCCTTCAAGGTAAGTTCTGAGATATTAGCTCAATCATTCCTGAATACTTCAAAGCAAAAGGGCACTAAGTGGACCGACAAAAAGGTGCGGATTGTCCAACACCCCGATAATCATGACATCCCTGAGCATACATTATTTCTTAGTGAGAGTGAGATGAGACATTGTGCTGTAACTGATACAAAGATAGCTTGAGTCGTCGTCCCGAACAAGTGATTGGCAGACGCTCATCGCAGCAACTGAGTTACTCGCCGCTGTTTCCTCAGCAGTCCCGCTGGAATGTGTTGTATCTGTTAAACTCTTCGGAGTAGGCCGCTGCAGGTATCAACTGTATGCCGGTACGAAGGACCGACGCTTCGCTGCCGTGCAATCACCACCGGTCGCCCCTGCGCTAAGGATGTTGCGAGGGTTTCCTGGTCTCGACGCAGGCCCGAACCAGCGCTCTCAGATTAAAAGGCAGGCTTGTGACCCTTAAGGCTACGGACCACTGCATATTCAGATTGTTTAGAGTTCTCCTGCAGTATTTTCCTTCCATATCGTCACATTCTATTCCCCGTTGGGATAGATGAACCAATCGCATTGTCATTTTATGAGTTCGCCCACCTACTCCATTAGGCGTCGGACTTGCCATCTCCAGATCCACGGCCAAAGAGTCATGCGTGTCCTGAGCATTTGGTTCCGTGAAAAACAACGTAATTTACTACATACATCGCTTGGTTACTAGAACACCACGTTACTACGCGGTTCAGGTCTCTGTAGACAGAAAACTAAGCCATGGAAAGACCATAACATTCGATTGACGTGATGTCAAAGAGAAATTCATGCCCTTTGCTCTAGTGCATGCATACCCCCACCGCAAGAAGTAACTTGGTTTCATTTGTCTTTCCTTCACTTCACAGGAATTCATCCAGATCCTGTCGGGCACTACATTAGAGGTGAGTCCTGCTTATAACTATTTAATGTGACACTTGTGTGGCTCTATGTCTCAGTGCCAAGAGATTGTGGATTAAGACACCCGGCATGGGCATACTAGGATGAATTTACAGAATCAAGACTTCGCCTAACTTTTGGCCAGCAGTAGCAGTAGCAAAAGACAACGGTTGAATTCTGGCTGCTATTCCACAAATGGTATAGGTAGAAATTCATCACATCTAGACACAATCAGACAACAGTCAAGCGCCCGGCCGTTTCATCCTTTCGGGAAACGTCAACTTTGCGCACTCCATCTGAGCGTAGTAGGACTCAAACCCGCAACTCAAATGTTACAAGTCTGTGTTTGAGACCACTGAGCTACGGGAACGCCAATGACTGCCGTGATTGTTACTAGATGTGTGTTCGTCCCTTGGTTAGGCGGCTACTCTGTCCTCTGCACGACTGTAAGGTGCAAGTCAGTGGCGAGTGAGCGGCACTATACCACATCTAGCAACAGTCACCATGGTTGTTGCCGTCCGCCGTAGCTCAGTGGTATAAATCACAGAGTGGAGACAGTCAAGTTGAGGGTTTGAGCCCCACACTGATGACGATTCCCGGAAGGATGAAACGCACGTACAGTGCTGCTCCGGAAGTGTGATGTCTGTTTGACTGGGTCCAGATGTGATGCACTTCTACCTATACCATTCATCTCCCACACTAGTTTCTTGTATGCTACAAATAGCCCTCGGGATCGTATCTCATGCAAGCTGGGTACCCCTTGTCTCTGCGGACAGCCAACATGAAGGCGCATGGCCATCAACCGTCAGCTTGCCATCCATGCTCTTGAGTACTCGCCTGATGTTTGTATCGGTATCATTGTGTTCTACTCTTGGGAGACGGTGATGGTTGTCAGGATAGTTGGTCGATGTTTGCTGCGGTTTGTTAGGGTTGCGACGCGGACACTTTATATCTTTGACTCAGGTAAGAAGCAAGCGGCCACACTACATGTTAATACATAAACGCTGTACTTTGATAGCTAACTTAGTAACATTTCACATCCTACTATTTTCGTAGGATCAAATACTTTCCCGTGCAAGTGTACGAGCAACGTCCTTCCTGGTACGCATAGTTCGTTCTTTCTCGTTTGTTGAATGTTCTCTGTTCGTTTCCACAATCTCCCGATGATTAAACCTGTTCCCACTACGGTGCGACATGTTTACAGGAATACTTACAAAAATGGTTCCCCAACGTGTTGCGAGTAAGCTGTGTTACGAGTTCCGATTATACGTGGTCTTTGCGGTAGTGAACAGCAATCTGAGTTATATTATTTACCGCATCCTCTCCACAGGTAGAACAACCGAGAGTCGAAGAGTTGGAGTTACTCGTCTCTGAAATGAAACTAAAACAACTGATGTGGAACTCTTTGGATGAATGGGATACCATCTACAACGAGTGGTTAACTGCAGACTTCCTTCAGCTGGAAACAGACATGCTCAATTCGACCACTCAAAAGTACCTCAAGTCTGTCGCGTTGTTAGAGAAGGGATTGCCCCCGAACAACGTGGTCCCGCTACTTAAAGCCAAAGTGGACAGTATGAAGGAAAAAGTAAGCGGGCGTTTCACGTTCCTAACTAGTGCGACATGGTCTTCCACAGCGAAGGAAGCATCGACGTGCTGAAAGGGATTTAAGTAAACGTGATTGTGCAAAGTAGAGCGAAACACATGCGGTAACTTGGCTGTTAATTGTCCTCGTGAGCCAAATTGACCCGCCCACTCGTGGGCACGTTTTATGTGCAAATCATCAGTTAACGCGCATGTACGCTACGAATCGATCAGTCACCTGCTCTTTCCAGTACATGCTCACCCCACCTGCAACGGAGCTTGTGGACCGCAGAAAGGTATTGGTAGCTATAAACCTGATTAACATTAAGCACTTTAAATGTGACAAAATGGCCGCTGAGATGAGAGGGTATGAAATGCAAGTGGCGCATGATAATGTACTACTGAATGGGGGGTGGTAAATCGGCGACAAACTAAGGGGGATTGTACGAATGACGAATTGGACTTTTGGAACCAACTATCACCGATTCTAACGTGGGGTATTTTTCCTCGAGACGACATTATACGAAGTTAGGGTACTACAACTTGTGTAAAGTTGCAGGATTACTCCAAGTGTACGTCCAGAGGAGCTCTGTGTCAAAAATGCTAATCCACTTGAGAATTGTAAAACAACAGGGTAAATAGTTGGGTTGGTATGATTTTAATTGTTGTTCTGTAGTGTAAAGACGTTATTAACATTCCTTTTGTATGTTCATATATATATATGCATATATGTATATATACACAAAAGTTTTCTGCCTCCAGCTTATTTCGTGTGTCCCTAGTGTGTGGTGTAAACAAATTATGGATGACCTCGTCATGTTAACTTTGATCGTGCGATGAAATTCCTTGATGACCTCATATATTTTGCTTATTTTCTTTTCTCCCTGTAGTTGCCCGCGATTATGGATTTGCGAAACCCTTGTCTTCAGCAACGACATTGGCAGAGGCTGGAGGATGTGATCGGCTTTCGCTTAGCTCAATTAGAAACGCCTTTGACGTTGGGCTACCTAGTGGAGTTAAAAGCATTCGAACGTTGCGACGCCATTTTGGAAATCTCCAGTCAGGCCAGCTCAGAGGCCAGTCTTGAAAAGTTGCTTAAAAAGGTAGGACAATTGTATCCGGCGCTCTAAACTTCACTGAATAAATTTCATCATATTCGCAGCCCCACAGCTGTTAGAAGCGATTAAAACAGGATAAGTCAGTTCCAATTTGCTGATCTACATAACCTGCTCGAGGACGTTTGCCGTGGACGACTAAGAAAACTTGATGTAGACGTCCTGGTTTCTTTAAGCAATTATGCTCATCATTTTACATCTTTGCTTTAGGTCACCGAAAGGTCAAAATGTGGATAACAGAAATAATGCAAACTAATAAGAATAAGAATAAGAATAGCACCAAATCGGAAGCCGCGGTGGCTGTGTTACTCAAGCGAATCGACAGCTTCCGGACGTAGCATCGTTTGTTTAGTCTGCAGGCAAACTCGCTCAGTTTAAAGGAAATCTTTGAATGGCCAGACACTTCTAACTCGACAACTATGGTGCTTACGCTATGTGAATGTAACTATTCCCTAATACATGCAGTAAACTTGTATATTTACGCAGCGTTGTACTTAGATTGGGATGGGTTGCACGCAACCTATTCGCAGGTACCCGCAAAGCAACCAGGCGTGTGGAAGCCGACTGGTTCCGCACAAAGATGAGCACGAACTCTCCAACCTTAAACGATCAGCCGTTCATGAAAGTCACGTCACTCTGGCGCTTGGATGGGAAAAACGTGAATAACAGCGTAGACAGCAGGATAAAAAGCAAGTCGCATGCTTACAAGCATTGCTCCTTATCAATTCCTCTGTGAGCTTCTTGGTCGTTCTATATTTACAGGTTGAGGATTCGTGGAAGTCCATGGAATTCACAGTCTTGCCCTACAAAGATAGCAAGGACGTTTTTATTGTGGGTGGAACCGATGAGATCCAACAACTGTATGATGATTCAGTGATAAGTATTACCACGATTGCCTCATCGAGACACGTTGGTCCCATCAAAAACCGCGTGGATGAGTGGTCCGCGCTACTCGACTTATTCGGCAAGACATTGGTGAGTTGCTTGCATTTTGGTGTGCGTCTAAGTTATCCATCAGGTTATGTGCTAGCATATTAGCAAATAGTAATAAAGGGACCAGAAGACCAGAACCTAGATGCAAGTAGTCAGATGTTTGGGAACCATCGACGCAATAGTTTCACTGTGTGAGTGTTATGAGAATCTCTAGTTGATATTCACTTTGTGAACGATCTTGGTGGACTTTTTTCATGCTTCCTATCAGCACCTCTTTACAGTGGTCTAAACGCTGCACTTCTTTAATCTGATTAGTAAACGCACGTCGTTATTAATGCACCATCACCTTACGTGTCAGTTTCAGCAACATCATTACCAAGAGCATATTTGATTAGTTGTTATCTCAAAAATTTACATTTAATTCTGTTGAGGGAATGTTTAGTTGACATACATTTTCGTGGCAGTTCTTACTTCGGGGTTTGCATTTACTCCTGTGGCCTGTTTCGTTACCCTTGTTTAAACACTCCATTTCGTTCATCTGATTGGAAAGCACCCATCGATGTGAATGGATGTACATTTTACGGTTTGTGTCCCATAATGCCATTTCCAGCGACGTCTCTGATTCGTTTTCTATTCCAAGGCTGCCCATTCGTTTGTTGTATTTAGCGTCTTCCCTCCGTTTGATCGGCTCGAATGTGTTTTAGCAGTTTCCCTTCAAAACCTTTCAAAACTGCATACACCTGTGTCGTTTAATGCATCCAAACCTTTCCAGGCTCGTCTTTGGAGTTCTTCTTGCGGTCGCGGGGTGAACGCGTCGGTTACGACACAACATGGAGAGTGGGTCGCTAACCATTGCCCTGAGCAGTACGGAGTTTCCTACTCATGGGAATGACACAAATGATGAGATTCAGTGTCGCTGTGGGTTTGTTCTTAACCTTTAGCCACGTCATCGATTGACTACTTCGGGATATCATCCACGTAAGTGCAGTATGGCCAACGACACACATCGAGGTAGCGGTTAGCAAACACATCTGGGACATGACATACCAGCGTGGGCGTTCTGTGTTTAACACATGTGTTAATGATGCATCAAAAGATTCATTCCCAAACTCCAAACTTGGGGACTACGCACTCGGTTCCGCCACCAGATGTGACCTGTCAATATGACCAGCATCGTACCCAACGGACATGTTTCTGACTCTCGCAACATTGCACACCCTAGCCAGACAACACGTTAACCCGCGTTCCACATATACCGTTGAACTTCTTGAATGTTACAGGACCTGAGTTAAGTGCAGTAATCCCTTAGTCGATTTGACCCAACGTACGTTACAGTTGACTGGACAGATAAGTGCATTTACCATCTACAGCGGCAGTTCGGTGAAAAACTGGAAGTGTAGGGTCCAACTTCCACAGTAGTACTTTCAAGTTCAACTCTCGCAGTGCCGGGACTCGTCCATTCGGTAGAATAACTGTAACAATGTAGCAATGGTATATATGTGGTCCCATCGGATGGTCAGGATGGTCTCCAGAATAAGAGAGGGCTACGTTCTCGATGTGTACTCAGCTTTTATTAGCTGCTAGCCACGGAGGACTTTTATCCTTAAGGAAACGGAAAATAAATGCAGTCATTATCTTCACAAAATTAAGAACAGGGAAGTACAGGGATACTTGTGGCAAATCCAGTTTACTGGATGAAGTAAGACAGCTTCTCACTGATCACTACTCCTTTTGAGCAGTCACTACTGTCGCGCAACGCCCTCCGAGAACGAAGACTGAGCTCTGTCATCCAACTCTACTTTGATCAGAAATCAACATATTTAAAAGGCAACCTACGCTCGGTTGAGCGTGTTTGCCTTGATCTTCCTTGTTGGGCTACTTCCAGGGAAGTTAGCAGATTCATCAATCGAGTCAATTGATCGTACAGGTTTTCAAGGTGATTCACACTCACGCGTGTAAGCGTTGTTGCTCGGTTGGGGGCGACCGATCAACTTTCAGACTCTCGGCCCAAATTCCTTCAACTCGGCCGTCCGATCAGCAATCGGCATGGATATAGAGGATTTTGGAAACTGAACTGGAGGTTTCTAGCACACCCTTCTTAGACTCGGAAGTGCTTACAGCTATTGCGATAATAATCTGTCTCAATAGGACGTATGTTTCAAGGACGATTACCATGTCACACCACTTGTGTCGGTCCGTAAGCTAGAGGTAACCAACTTGTCTCGTAATCTTGCGGCGCTGGTTCGAATCCTCGTAGAGGTGGGCGTCCTCGCGGTGTACTCAGCCCGCGTGCGACTGATGGTGGTCGCACGGTAGCGAAGCGCCGTTACGGCGTAGAACCGACATGTTATTGTTATTATTATTATTATTAGTAGTAGTAGTAGTAGAGCAGCAGCAGCAGTAGTAGTAGTATTAACTGCGGACCATTTGTACATTGGATGCTATTCGGATACATGACGAAGAGGATATATGTGACCGGCTTCCATTCTAACCGAAAGCACACAGTTTCTATTTCACACCAATGTGTAGATGCTCGTTTCTTTCTCCCAAGCACTAACTTCCAGCACAGCACCCGCAGAAAGATGATATCTCACCCACCAGCGTTGAACGAGCTATGGAATCAAATCGATCACTTCGCCACCCATTCGGAGCACTAGTGTGGACTCCGACCACGTACTTGTATGTGCTGATCTCCGGGTACGGTTTGGTGGACGCTCCCGACGACGCTGTGAGCGCATTGACTTTCGCCAACTGGCGAAGCCAGATGTTAGGGATGCGCGTCGAAGTGCGGTGGTTTGCGGATTGAGTGCGCGCTCACTGCACGCAGTTGGAGACCAATGGTCCCGTATTCGCTAGACTTTATTAACAGCAGTTTTGTCTTCATGTGGTATATCTGGTTTTAAACCCGGACATTGGACCTCTACACAGTCTTTGTAATTTTTGGTGCTCACCGGCACATTCCGTCTGGAAGCGAACAAACGAGATTCGCAAAGATCTCAGGGCAAAAACTGCATGCTAGCCTGAAGAGGGATCGCGAAACTCAGTGGCCCCATCGTGTGTCCGAGGTTGAAAACAGCCATTGGCCTTGGTAACCATCGGAATTTATTCCGTCTAACATGTGAAATCGGCAGCACCAGACCTGGTGTCAGAAAGATCATATGCTACGAGAGTGGACAACCAATCCACAGCTTGCCAAATTGCTTGGACGGTTGGACCGTGCATTTTGAAAAGCTATGTAATCTACTGAAATTACTGGATCCGCTATCGGCCAGTGACCACCCTGCTTTATGGGTCGTCCTTTTGGATCCGCCCTCTCGCTAGAAGTCGAACGTTTGATCAGATTGCTGAAGTCGAATAATGTTGCGGGAGCATATACTGTTTTCTCCAGTCTTCCTCAAAATCGAGTGACCTGCTCTTATGGAAGATTTACACGGTGTATTAGTAAAACGGTGGGAGTATTACGCTATCCCAACCAACTGAAGCTGCTCCGTTATTGCCGTGATATTCAAGCAGCAATCAGACCGCTAGTGCTACGGATTCTCTCATGTAATTTAAGTATGACACAACGTCTAAAAGTTGTGAGAACACACTCGATACACTAATGAGTAGCTGAAGGCATACAAAGTATGATGATAAATCAGTGAGGTTCCTCGGTGCACGTGTTGAGGGAGCCTTTTCTGTTAATACAGAGAGCGACTGGTTAGTTCACTAAGCTAGAAACATTATTCTCAATCTATGCCTCTGTGAAGGGTGGGAATGCTTTGACCACAGGACTTCATGGTTGAATATGTCCGAAGAATGACCAACAGGGCTAGAGAATGGTTGCGGTTCAGAGGCCATGTTTCTATTCCAATCTCCGCCTCGACGCAAGAGTCTGTGTAGGCTTGACAAGTACCACATGATAGAAATGGAAGCGGCTTGGAGTATTGTTCTATGTAACTAAGCTCAAAAGGTAGCGGGGTGGGTTCAGAAGTTCATGCTATGGAGGTGTAGTTGGTGCTCGGCACACCAACGCAAATCCACACGTACTTGCGGACACCACTCCATCTAATTCTCAGCGTCTTAAAGACAGAGTAGCGGCCAACTCTGCATCGTACATGGTATATCGATTTACTTGCAATTGTGGTGCTAAGTACCTCGGTCATGTGACAAGGTGACTGTCGACACTGATATCTGAGCACTGTGTCGGGTCTTTATGGAAAGGCACTACCGGAAGTATCAGAAGTTCCATGCTTGAATATCTTGTTCAAAGTGGACGCGAAGTTCTGACCAATGATGCTTTCAACCATTTCTACACAGTGTCAAAAAGAAATCCTAAAGGGATTAGGAGACACCTCCTTAAGATAGCCGAATCAACAGCGATCAGTGTAACGCATCCAGAGCCTCGCAAACAGTGCATGCTCTTGCAATCTCTCATGTTGCTGTGGCCTTGATGAGAACGCATCCACATGGAACATTGACGAGACCATGGATGACATCACTTCTTGGCTAACCTAATTTGTTGCGTGAAGAGGCCAGCAAGCTCTGTCAAGTGGAGTCATATGAGGTCAGTTTTCATCCACAAGGCAGTCTCCACCATCTGAGCCGATCAATGTTAACTTCCTTTAGAATAACTTGAACCAGTTTATACAATCTACCACTTTCTCTTCAGCTTTCATTAGCTTGTATTTATCCCCGTTATCCTTGCAAACGTATTTGCCTGATGTGAGTTGCTGAAAAGCGATTGTTTTGCAACTACATTTGCTTACCAACAGGTAAGTCTTTCTCCACTGTCCCAGCGAAAGTCACCCTACCCTACCTTCAATTCAAAGTAACCGACCGAAATCCGAGTAGAAATCCGTCGCCAAAATGATGACATCAGTTTTATGGCTCCCTGGGAGTGGATCATAAAACTGTTAGTGGAATTGGTCATTGTGTCTGCACTACAGTCGTTTGGAGCATGCCTGGACACTACAGCATGTAAGTTTATATTGACAGCTGCCAACCTTACGAGAACCATGAAACCCTATGGATCAATGATGACTGGTAATTGGAATCCATACAAAGAGCACGGCTTCAGCTTCAGCACTAAGAGCGATTCCAACATCAACTTGCTCAGATGCAATAAGAACACAGTGTTACCGGTGAGATGGCGACAGAAATGGGGCGTACGAATGGTTTGGTGACGACTTTGTTGAAGTCTTGAAGCCATGTTCCAGCCAGAAAGCTGTTATACATTGTATGAGTTTCCAGAGCGTGCACAAGTCCGGCTTGGTGTCCAGTCAGATCTAGTGTGCGTACGTTAAACGTTTCTAACTTGACCTACGTCAGATTGCAGCAAAAGCGATGTCAGGTTTTGCGCCTGATATATCTCGTTGGGACACTGTGTGATTGATCCGGAAGACGGTAAAACCACATGTTCACCAGAGGCCCACTTTTTGTAAACTTTTGGGGAACTAGGTATTAACGTAAATCGATCATACTGGGAGAAAGTGGACAGATGCTTAGCCTGTGATTGAAAAGTAAACGTCCTATCAAGATGGCAAGCTCCCAGTAGAGCGAAAGGGTGCGGTTCAATTCCGTGGTTCATTAGTAGGCCAGAAACTATCCGATTGCCTAGGTTGAAGTAAAGGGTTGTCGCTGAGGACTGCCATATCGAGCTTTTGGACAAGAAATCTAGTCCACAATGCGGAAGGGTTTTGAGCAGTTGACCCAATCATTATTTCATACGTCTTTCGGATGATATTAAATCAAACCTTGGTCACAATAACCCCGATGGCGATGAACTTTTCGTGTACCACCTATGAAGTTATGTCGTTTTATAGGTGGAAGACCGGGAACCGAAAATCCACCACACCGTCTAGCACTGTCCCTGCATTTTCTACGACTACTTACTTATCCATCTCCAAGACACAAGAAGACTTATTCGTAGTTTTCACAAGGAATTTATTCCCCTGGTCCGCAACACAGTCGCACCCAGCAACCCATAGTTTACTTACGGCTGAGTAACCGCCGGAGACATTGTGTAGTAAATTTTTCATTCATGTAGTATTTCATTCACCTCCATCCATTCTAGTTCTAATTTCTACCCCTTGCAGAACGAGTGGATGATGTGTCAACGAAGCTGGTTGTACTTGGAAAGCATTTTCTCCGCTCCGGACATACAAAGACAACTTCCCAGTGAGGCCAAAAGTTTCATGGCTGTAGACAAATCCTACAAAGACGTAATGCGCAAGGTTCAAAAAGTTCCGTTGGCGATGCGTGCTGCAACGCAACCGGGTTTATTGGACACGTTCAGAAATAACAACCAGCTATTGGAACAAATCCAGAAATGCTTAGAAGCGTATCTGGAGTCGAAACGCGCCATATTCCCGCGGTTCTACTTTCTTTCGAATGATGAACTATTGGAGATTTTGGCACACACTCGGGACACACAAGCCATTCAGCCTCACTTGCGCAAATGCTTCGACGCCATCGCTAGGCTAGAGTTCGCAACAACGGCCGAAAGCAAAAAGGGTAAGTAGCAATTACAATGAACCATAATTTATCACGGGTAAAAAGTAAGTGCTTGATAACTCGCGTGTGGTGGGTGGAGTGAACATTACATGATCAAATGATACGTGCTCTAACTATTCAAGCGTCTACCGGTTCAAATGCACTGATACATAACGATAATGTGAAAGGGGATTTGCATGCATGCACACAAAACGATATGGAAGGGAGGTATAGTTGACGCAATTCGTGTGAAAAATGATGTGGATCCATCTGATAGGTAAATCCAGTATTATTAGGTCACAAACTTACTCCTCAGTAGCACCGTTTAGGCAACGAAGTGTAAGGCGTGAAACTGAGCACATTGATTGGTGGTATTACCTCGATACCCGGTCACAAATACTCTATGCTTGGCGGCATCTGACTCCGGACTTGCCTGTCAATGTTGCCTACACAACGCAGCCATAGGACGCCTGCAGAGGGACCATGGGTAACTTGCACTGCGCTAGCCACAGTTCCACCCACACACCGCATATCCGGTGTATACTCAAAGGTAGAAGACCGGGAGGCATGCGGATGGGAGCCACGTTTCATCAACGGAGCCGGCCGACATTCCTACACAGGCTAACACAAGCACACTCTAATGGGGGAATCGAGCACACCAGAGCGTTGGATGAATCCTAGTTCGCTCCAAACGGAGTGCATAGAACCATTCTTCGAGCCTAGCACGATCACGAGAACCGCGCACCACGTCCCCTCCAGGAACGACCAACTGTGTCGTAGAGCCAGTACGGACGAGGTGGTGGGTATTAGACAGGTAGGCACCTTGTCAACATGCACATCAAGCGCAGCCACACCAGGGATGTCAAAGAACAGCCAATCAATTGAAAAGAGAATAAAAAATAATATATATCGAATAAAGCGTATGCAAAATGCTAACATGAATCTACGTTAAAGGAGCATGTATAATAAATTTGTTACCAACGCATTCGAGATGAGTGCACGGTCAGAAAATCCATTTTAAAAGATAATGTCACAAACGGGGAAATGTCAGCGAATTTGACCACAATTAGCTTAAACAACGTGTGCAAGTTCAGGTAAAAGTTAAGCTGACGTAAAAATAATATACATTGAGGTACGATAACAAACACATCACCTAAAGTAAAGAAACTCAGCATGCAAGCACGCGGTTAGTTAACCGAATACAATGTACCTACAAACGCTGCGCCGGTTCTGCATACCTTCTCAGAAGGGTACGTCGTCGTTTCAATGCTGGTCCCAAATGGCCTTGCTTGTGGCTCACTAGACCTGCCTGACTCAGGCACTTGCGACCGCATTTGCTACTGCACCATGCGCCCGACGTCTATATAGTACACCACATCGGTGACTGTCGCTTCCGCAATTGCTGTTTCATCTCTTCGTGCACGCTGGCTTTCTTTTGTAGCTCGACAACGGCCTTGGTGATCAGATCGCGCCATGCACGCCGACCAACCACTTTCGATTCTCATAACCTGCAATCAACATTGGAACCTGATAGGTTAAATTTATCATATCCTGGTAACGAAGCTTCGGTTTCCGCACATGCCGCTTCCCCACACACAACTGACCGCATAAATGCTGCTTCGGTATCCGTGTCGAATGCATACACCACACTTAACCCAGCCAACTCGTGTCTCAGCAATAGTATGCAGTCCACTACATACATTCCATTTCGGCGCAGCACATCCGTATATTCAACTATGTTGCACCGACCGATGCGAAGAATCCGTCGCACACACTGTTGAAGAAACCGCTCGAGATATCGTCCATGTCTCACTGTCGTGCAGAAGAACGGACAGCACCATGGATTTGTACACCATCAGCTTTGTGCCAATGCTAAGCTGATGGTTTTTCCACACTCGATACTCAAGCTTCCCGAATGCCGCTGCCGCCTTCGACACGCGAATACGCAACTCAACGTGTAGCTGCTGATCAGTCGGCATCACACTCCCAAGTTAGCAAAAGCGAGAGGTGGTTTCCAATACTTCAGCACCAATGCTGATTCGCGGCAATATTGAAGATTGCACCTCCGGTGAAGGCTGAAAGAGGCAGACAGTTTTGCTTGTGTTGATGGTGAGCCCAATTTTGCCGCTGTCGAAGCCAGAGCATTAGTCATGTGCTGCAACTCATCCACGCTGCGTGCAAACAACGCACAGCCGTCAGCAAACAGCAACATACGGACAGTCGTCTCACAGACTAGGGTTCTCGCACCGAAACGACGGATGTTCAGCAACCCACCATCAATACGGTGCTCCACACGAACACCGTAAGCACAAGCGGCATAAAAAGCACTGGACTTCATTGCATGAAGATGTATATTAAACAGGGTAGGAGCAAAGACACAGCCTTGCTTCACACCAGAGACAACTGCAAAGTCATCCGAGGTCTGTCCACTCAGCTGCACCCTCGCTCGCATACCACTGTGCAGACATTCAAGTAAAATTACAAACTTACGCGGGCAACCAAACTTACCCAACACCAGCCATAATGCGTTGCGGTTCTCCGTGTCAAGTGCCTTCGTGAAATCAACAATAAGCGAGCTTTCTGTACTTCTGCAACTGACAAGCCGCAAACACCCTATCGATGGTGCTGCAACTCGAACGAAATCCGCACTGCTCTTCCGCCACGTTTGGTTCCACAACCTGATTGACGAGGCGGTTGAGCAGGATTCCGGCAACCAGCTTACCCACACAACTCAGCAAGTTGATGCCACGGTAATTCGTGCGACATTGCTTGCTACCTTTACCCTTGTACAGTGGTAGTACAAGGGCATCCTTCAGCTCAGGAGGCACCTCCTCCTCAATCCATACACGTTGCGCCAAGTGGTGCAGCGCAGTCAACAACGCGGGTCCGCCGTGTTTCAATACTTCAGGTGGGATCCCGTCACCTCCGGCACATTTGCCGTTTCGCAGCTGAGCAAGTGCTCTCTGCGTCTCATCTAGTGTCGGCGTAACCGCCAGACTCGCCTTCGCATCGTATTGCGTGAGGCCGTTCAAAGTAGGCCAGTCGATCTATGAACGATTGTTCAAAAGGCAGTCAAAGTGTTTTCGCCAGATCTGCATTATATCTGCTGTCTGTGTGCAGGTAGCGCCTGAACTACCATCGATCAGTGTCCTCACTGGCTCCAATCTCGGTACATACACCGCCTTCAAGGAGTCAAAGAATTCCTGGCGTTGGCGGCCTTCGGCGTAGCATTCCATCTGCTTCGCCTTCTCCGTCCACCGTGCATTTTTAATGCCACGGAGCTCTCGAGCCAGTCGTCGTCGAAGTTTGCGAAACTGACTACTCTTCCCCAAGTCACTGAGGTCTGCCACATGTGCAGCAGACGCTACTTCTTCCCCGACACCAATGCGCCACTCGTCGCATTGTTGTCATCAAACCAATCAGACCGCTCACAGTTTGCACTCTTGATGATCTCCTCGGCAGCAGCTGTCACCTGGTCGCGAATGTGGTGCCACAAGTCGCCCACTGTAGCTATACATTCCACATCACACAGGCATGCAGCCATCGCCTTCTCCAGCTCATTATGTTTCTCCATAGCACCGAGAGAGAGAGCATGTTAAATTTACGCCGATTCACGGCTGGAGTGCAATACATAGATTTACGAAAATATATGTACAGTTTGGTCTGCATCAATTTGTGATCAGTGCCATACTCAGCTCCACGCAGTACACGTGTCATGCTCATTTCATTCATGTCACGCTGACTTGAGATGACAGTCGGGTAGGTGAGCGTGACCACTCCGTGGGTGTGTCCAAATTGCTATATCACTCGCACTCAGTGCAAACCGAGCGTTTGTGGTCGTCAGGCCGTGAGTGGCACACAGTGAGAGCAGCCTGTCACCGTTCGCATTCCCTGAACCGATGCCATCCGTCCACACCGATACACCACACCCAACGCGCGCCTTGAAATGGCCCAGCAGAAACAGTCGGTCGCTCCGCGGCACATACCTTATCACAGAGGAGAACTGAGTGTAGAATCCATCACGCGTGTCATCAGAACACATGGTAGGACTGTACGTGCTAACAAATTGGCAAACTTACCTCTTCCGAGTCGTAGGCCAACGGTCATCAGTCACGCGCTGATGCCTATTGGTTCACTCACCAGCTGGCTATGGAGGCGATCTGATAATGCAGTTTCGACCCCATGGTTACGTGGTGCTTAGCCAGTGTTGCCCACCCAGCAGAATGTGTAACCAGGACCATCTTCGTGCAACTTACCTTGTTCAGCGAGCTGAGTCTCACTTAGCGCCGCGGTATAGGTGTGGTAGCGCACCAGTTCCGTCGAGACGAGTGCAGTGCGTCGCTCGGGGCGCTCACTGCAGTTCCGTTCCAGTAAGATGCGCACGTTCTAGCACCCGATGATGAGTACTTTGAGCACTCATACGAGTGCATTGGTGGGCAATCGCACGGGAGGTGGCGGTCGTGCTTCGGGCGTTTGCTTGAGGGACTCCATCAGGAGCCTTTGGCTCAATAGCCTGGACCACAAGGCAGTGAAAAGCAGATCCGGCTCGGCAATGTGGTTGCAGAGACAGACTGGGATCTGCCTGAGGTCTGTCACATGCAGGCTTTGGAGATCTGGAGCAATTCATGTATGTTTTGTGACCATAGTAGGATAGGCACCTGCTACCACGGCCAGACGTTGGAGGGTTTTAGCGGGTTTGCATAAATTTGACCAGGGTCTGTCTGGCTTGAGGCTGGTTCTAGCAAACAACTGAACACCCGGAGGTGTCCTCCCGCCGTCAGAGACAATGCGTGGCACTCGCGCTTTACGCACATCGAGCGGTGAGCTTATAACTCGTGGACCTGTTGTCTCCCATGGCTAGGTTTTACGGAAAGTGGGCCATCGACCACTTCCTAACCTCCGAAGAGGATGGACTAGGATACTGGAAGGGCGCCTACTCCTGACAGGAGAACGACTCGGGTCCTCAGCCAAAGCCTTCGATTAAATGAACACCCGAAAGGCAGCGGGTCTAACACATGGTC